TGTGTGTGTGTGTCTTTTTCCTATTTTCTCTTTAATTTGTCTCAAATTAATAATCACTTTATGTCACTAAGGATGGCTGCTCAGTCTTATTAGCCCATTAAGGTTATTTCGGGCAGCCATGTACTCTTTTTATTTTAACTTATTTTTGTTCACATAATTTCTAATTTCTAAGTTGAGTACAAAAAAAGTTGTTGTTGTAGTTCTTGTTGTTGTTCTCATGTTAATTGAGGCAATTGTTATTTGAACCCCACTGTGATTTACGAATTTAAATAATAAAGAAGAAACAAAATGAACCCTGGTAGTTGTAATCAGATGACATCATGCAAATGTGCTATTAAGTACACATTTTATGTGCTCAGAAAAGTGGGAAAAAGGGGAAATTTAAAATCAATAAGCTGTGAACATAGTGCGGATTCATTAAAATTCCACCAACCAGGAACTTATGTCATTACAACTGGATGTAGCTCTCAGAGAGGATTGAAAAATGAGCAACAAGATCTGTGAGCTGTGTTTCTGGAAACTTACAACTTTAATCATCTGAAAGTACTTGGCATATCTTGGATCTTTGGAAACAGTCATAGCTAGAAATGAAAGTACAGCAGAGATTTTAAAAAATATCCTGTAAAGGTAATAACACTCTGTGGTAAGAAAATAACAGTCAATAAACTTGCCAGTGTACATTTGTGACCTTAAACAACTTCCTCACCCACTACTCTCCCACTTACTTGGCAAGTTGCAGAAAGTGCAGCATTGTTACAGTTAAAGCTTTTACTACTGTACTCAAGTGCGTACAAATGTAGAATAACGAATTGAAGTTCTGGTAAAGGGATAAATGTAGGACCCTTTGAAAACAGCCTGTAGTTTCAACTTGTTGATTCACAATGTTAAACTGTGGGTGTCAAAGAACTGCAACAGTAATAAATGTCAAAAATTTCAGTTTATGCTTACTTGGTTTCTCAGGCTCTGGAGGTGATACGGAAAGAAGAATAAAATAAAAATGTAATGAATAAGTGCTGCCAATGTACAGTATTCAGATATGATATTCCCCACATACACTGTACTGCTTATAAGTAACCAAGTACATAAAGAATGGTGTTATTATGACACTGACAATAATAAGCCCTGACTTTAGCAAAATATTTTAAATTATTCATTGAGAACCTCACAACAACAATATCTTGGTGTAGAATGTTTTACAACAGCAACAATTAGGGTCTATAGGGTCAAATGTCTTATTCTAAAAAACCTGGCTGGGAAATATTACACAACAGCCTTTCAGAGGGGTTTTCAGTAACTTATGCTTACCTGGCTCTTCTGCAGGAGGTGCAGGAGGTCCCTATGTAAAAAATATCGAAAGATTTTTTTGCTTTCAAATTGTTTCAAGTTCTGTGCTCAATATTATTTATTATTCCATGACCTTTGGTACATGTAGCAATGGCAAGTGCACAAACAAGGCTCTGATAGTTAAAAGAATGAATAACAACATATCCATCGATTAAACTTTTTCCAGTAGATGGTATGGTTGGTTTTGTAATTTATCCCACGAACAGCGTTATGCATTCTTTCAACAACTGCAACAGCTTTTAGGTGTAGCTTCTTTATAAACTTGCGTGTGGTCAGTACCTATCAATGGTACTCTAGCATCCTCTTCGTATTACTATCATGTTTTTAGAGCTAGTGACAAGTGTTTTTAGTATTGAAATGAGTTCCAATTACATTGTACCTGTGCCTCCACAGCTGGTTGTGGTGCATCAGAAGCTGGAGGTGGAGCTGATCCTGCAGCTGGTGCAGCAGCTGCCCCACTTGGTGCAGGCATTGATACTGTCACATCTTCCAGCCCTGGGATTGATGCCAACTGTGTGAAAAATGAACATGTTGTAATAATTATTGTTATTATCTTAAAAGAAAAGAAAAGAAAAGAAAAGAAAAGAAAAGAAAAGAAAAGAAAAGAAAAGAAAAGAAAAGGGACTGACTGTCTTCAGGTTTCTGTTACCAAAAATTAACTGTTCTAAATTCCATTTTGAACAAGGATATAATGTGTATTTTAGAATTAAATTGGCCAATATCCAGAAAAAAATGATTTAAATCAATAATTGTAACAAAACTATATAAAAAATTGTTCCGTATTAATTTGGTTCTGTACACTTAAACAACAACAACTACTAAGATTATTATACTTATTGTGGATTCTACCTTAGCTTCTAGAATGCTCATCATTATTTCAATTCTTTGGATTTTGTTGGACAAGTCAGCTAATTTCTGCAATGGAAAAAAATATTTCATTGGGACACACACAAAAATGACGTTCAAGAAAAGTAACAGGTGTTACTCCTTTGATAGTAACACTTCTTTTTCAAAATGTACATGTATCATCATTTACAAATAATTATTTACAACACAATATACAGCAGAGTGAGTACCAGAGTAAAATAATTTAAATTTTTCATCCATTTAATATATATACAAAAAATTAATTACGGTGATTGATGCTTGGTCATTAATACGTTTGATAAAAGAGCACATTAATCTGCAAATGTTGCTGGAAAAAGTGCTTTCACTTGTAATAATTATACTGTAATTTATTGCAAAGTACATGTTAATGACATTTAAGCATTTTAAGGTAACAGCGACTATGACTAACATGACAGCTTTCTTCCCATGACTGCAAGGGGCTCATGGTGCGCAGTCAATGTTTGCCGTATGCAACCGTTACCACTGTAGTAGAAAGTTGAAAGCAGATCATTGCCAGGCTAGGTATACAATAAATACTAATGGCTATAAGCCTTCTGATAGATTTCCCGAAGTACTGGTATTTTCAAATCTATCAATAGTATTCTAAAATGCATGGAAATTTTTGGGATGACAATCAGGCATCTTTGGAAGTCACTGGGCTCCTTCAAGGCAATCTTTGGAAATCTACTGGAATCTTCAAATAGTTTCCAGCAAAACACTGGGAGCCTACAAAGCATCTCCAGCAAACATGTACCTCACTCAAATGAAAGTTTTAAGTGGTTTGGAGGTCTTTGTGCTACTTTGGATTAACTCTGAAATGTCTTGTAACTAGTACTTGTAACCCTTTGTGTACTTATGTTGCACTGTTACATGACAGCCATGCTCTTTGCTTCACTAAAGAGAACTGGGTATATTTTTCCTAGAATACAACTACAATGTAAGTAACCTGCACTGCGGCATAAACAGAGAGATAGTAGAGGAAACAAAAGATGTGAAGAAGGGGAAAATACACATCTATGTAAAATAGCCTAATTTTGACAAAAAAGCTAATTTAGACCAATTAGACGATTGCCGTTTCCCGTGGGCAGAACTACAAGAACAGCTTTTCCAGGTTAAGTACAGCTCATGCTAGCAAGATGCATATCTCTCAAAGCCTTGTTAACATGTGTTAGGTGGCAGTTGCTGTGGCTGTTTGTGATGAGATTGTACAGCTAACAATAATAAATACTCAGTGAATATCAGCCAATGGGAATTTTGCAGTTTCGGAAATGAGCAAAAGTGGGCTCTTATTACCTCACTGCCTTCTCCCTCCCCCTTTTTACACCTACTACATAGGATGACAATTAAGCAGTCATAATAACAGTGCATGTGATGCTCAAAAATAGCACACAAAATAAGCACATGCACAATCACTTTGTTTGCTGTTGTTGCCATTTTTTCCAATGAGAAAAAGAATGAACAGCAGCAAGAAATAGCTTCTAACCTCTAGAGACTTTGACCTAATAAGAAATCCAAGAATCTTAGCAAAGCCAGCATTCATTTGTGTGTTACACTGCTTTAGGAGAACTGTTCCAGCAACTGAAACACCTGGCAAACTTTCTGGAGAATTCTTTTTCTTGCTGTTCCTTATGGCTGCATGCTGTAAGAAAAGCATGGAAAACTGGTGCTCTCTCTTTCTACTTGGAGCACACTTTCTCGTAGTTGAAATGTTTCGCTTCATCATTCATGTTCCTGTATGGATGGCCTGTGCATGGAACATAGGTCATCTACTTGCAAAGTCATTAGCTTGATAACTTCTTCAATGACTAATCCTTTAACCCCATCAATCTTTAGAACAGCTCCAGCTATCTGCTGGTGACTACCTTCCACCATTGCTCTGGCTAGAACATGTAAATCGCTTTTAAGTTCCTTTCAAACAGGTTTACTGGGATAATCCACGCAAATATGAATCCTGATCTCCTGTTTTTCTTCAGGTTTTTGTGTCTGGAGTGGAAATGCAGCATATAGTTGATCAGCAGTGAAACTTCTAAGCAGATTTGAAAAAAATCCACTAGTAACAGGCTTTGTAGTGGTGTTCACATTATTAGCAGTGGCAGAAATAGGAGAGGGTCTATTCAATGTAGTAACAGAAATTCCAGGCTGTGTAGCAGTGTTCACATTATTAGCAGCATCTAAAACAGGAGAACATCTAGTGAATGTAGTAAGAGAAATTCCAGGATGTGTAGCAGAGTTCACACTGTTAGCAGCGGCTAAAACAGGAGAAGGTCCAGTGAATGTAGTAACAGAAATTCCAGGCTTTGTAGCAGTGTTACCTACAGCTACAATAGGAGAAGGTCTAACGAATGAGGTAAGAGAAATTCCAGGCTGTGTAGCAGTGTTCACACTATTAGCAGTGGCTAAAATAGGAGATGGCTGAGTGAATGCTGTGGTAACAGAAATTCCAGGCTTTGCAGCAGTGTTCACACCGTTAGCAAATGCTAAAATAGGAGGTCTAGCGAATGTAGCAAAAATTCCAAGCTTTGTAGCAGTGTCATCCGTGGCTAAAATAGGAGAAGGTCTGGCAAATATAGAAACAGAACTTCCAGCATTTGAAGCAGTGTTTATACTGTTAGCAGCTGCATACACCACATGGACTGTAGATTGCGTACAAATGTCCGATTTGAAACGTGGATGGAGCTTGGTGTAATGAGGGGGACATGGGGATTTGCGGTGTTGCGGTGTTGATGTTTTTTTATTGCGGTGATGCGGTGAATAAAATCTCAACTTGCGGTGTTGCGGTGATCTCAAACCCTATGGTGTGCCATGTTTGTGTTTTTCACGCTGCGGTGTTCGGTGAAATGAAATTGTTTGCGGTGCTGAGGGTTTTTGATTTACCTTTCTCAAACCTAAATTTGACCTAAATTTAGCATGTAAACTTTGTTTTTGATGCTAATTTATGCAAACACGTACCATTGAGGTTAATAATTTGTAACAAAATACAAACCAATTTCCAGTCAATCTTCAATATGCCTCGGCTGCCAATC